ATGGTTTGATGACTTGAATAAATTAATAATTGAACAAATACATAAATATGTAATGTAATTTCGCTTTCCATACGAGAGTTGTTTAAAATCGACGAACATTTTATAACCAGCATCTAGAAGAGTCGCATGTTTGCGGACGCAGGTACTGAGACGACGAAGCGATCGCACCGTTACTTTTATTGTAAGATGACACAGGGAAGCATTTGTACGTGTAAATAAATCAGGAGATAAAACTAGTCGAGGGTTTGAATACATTTAAAAGAGTGTCATAACTCTGTGCGCAGAGAAGACTTACCTACTCAGATACACATAATTAGATAACCCAGCTTTTAGATAACCCAGGAGAACTGTCGTTTTATAGCGTTTAACAGCAAACGCAAACGTGCGCTTAAGCCCTGAATTAATTATTAATTATTAATTGATTTCACCGAGTGCAGAAAGCACATTTTTCAGGCAGATTAAAAAAGTTCGAGATAATAGAGAAAAGACTTTACTGGGAAATAATCAATTTTCGGAAAAAATGTTTCTATTTAGTGTTCTTTTGCTTGATTATTTGTATAATCTTTTTTTATTTGACCTTGTAATCTGGTACATTGGCATATAATCGTTTTTTGAACAACTCCTTTATTTCTATGTACACATACAAGAATAATTGTATACATAAAATGTAATATATTTAATATACACCCGGGCTTACGAGTGGCCTGACATACTAGTGTTTTGAGATACGAACGCCAAAGGAGCGATTTGTTACTTTGACATACGAGCCAAGTTAGAGATACGAGCTTTGAGCAAGTAAGAGTTTTCTAGAGAAGTGAATGGCAAAATTAAAATATGGAAAATTTTGTTAATTGTGATAATGATTTTTCTACCATAGAATTAATTTTATAGTTGCTCATTTCAATTATATAGGGTGCCCCAGACCTTGACGTCAAGCCGAAACGTGGTGAGTATTGCCTAAACTGTCCTGAAAAAAATTAGAAAAAAAATCTCGCGTTGTTTGGAAATTACGTGCAACCCAGAGCTTTGGTCTAATTATGACCAATTTTTGGTTATTCTGGTAATTTTTAATTAATTTTGTTCATTTCAACTTTAGAATCATAATCGTGGATTACATTTCTAGAACCACAATCAAAAACAATAACGTAACTGTTTCAAATTTTCAAGAATTAAAACTTTTTGTTCAACTATGAATTTAAAACTTTTAAAATCGGTCGACTTTGAGAGGTTCTTCTATAAAAAAATGACTAAAGTTGGCACATTAATCCGGATTGCAAATTGTAAAATATGTACGTGAAAATTTTATTATTGAAACTTTTGAGTGGCGCATGGCATCGTGCCTTAAAAATTACTGGAACTTCCCGTACCAAAATTATTATTTTTTTTAAAACCGATTAACATTTTTTTTACTTTTTTATTAGATTTCCGAAACCGCTAGACCTGCCTTTGAGAAAATTTGATCATTTTTCATCTTGTCAATACAAGTAAAATGTTTTTTGAATTATTAAAATGGGACGCTCCGTTCTCTTAAAAACTGAGTTACCATTTTGGTTTTTGCTATCTATCGAAGGCTGATGGCTTCGCAAAACCTAATCAGCTTATCCTGATCACTACGAATCGAATGTTCTTTTGAATTATTCACATCGGTTGATCCGTGTTCCCGAAATCGTCGACGAAAATTTTATCTGCACAATACACACAGTACATACATACACCACCACACACACACAACACATACACTACACTCATTTTTTCTAAGGTATGCAAAATGTTCAAACCTCTGAAACGTAAGATATATAAAAATTTTCAGTGATTTTTATTACTAAAAAAGTTAATAATAGGTAAACAGTGAATTTATCTATAATATTGAAAAAACTTAATAAAAACGATAGAGCAGTAACGAATTAGTGGCATTTCGATGTATTTATGTGAGAAACATTGCTTTGAGATGCGTATGGTTACGGAACGAATTTAACTCGTATGATATTATATTGCATTATGTACTTATATAATTATACTGATCAGATGTAAGTAAAACGATGCAATTAAAATGAAATCTGTTAAATGCGTGAATGTTTGAAGTTCAGTATTTTAATCGAGTTTATGAGCATAAACAGTATTCGATCGATGCGGCGGCCTCATTACCTAGCTTGTAGCTCTTGATTTCTTGCGTGGCGAATCAATAGGAGTTGGCAAGCTTCCATTGTAAACAATACGGCATTTCTAGCAGGCCGTAATGCAGTGCTTTTCGATCCTACTTCTGACCATGCAGTATTTTATTCACGATACAGTCTCTCGCAATACAAATTATTCATACCCTGATTTCTATCATACCACCGAAAAAGATATTCAAATGTTTAGCTATTCTTTCGTGTATTTTTAGCATACATTTATATGTGTTTAAATCTTTGGGGCAATACATCAATTAAAAGTTGTAGAAATTTATTATGATACATATAATCATATGTCATCTTCAGTGGAATGTAAATTAGAAAGTTAACTGATAATAGTAATAATAATTCACAGGAATACTGCTACACTATTTCTTGTCAATTCAAATAAAAAATATTATTTTTAGATTGAATTTTTTAGTGTTAGGCAAAACATTGCAATTTGTCACAGCTACGATGCAAATATATATATATGAGGAAGAGATAGCATAGCATTGCTCCAGAATTTTCTTCGAATTATATAAATTTCTAAAAATAATTTATTAGATATATAGACTAGACTAGAAATTTATAGAGCTTTGCTGATATTCTTGAATATCGAAAAGGTCTTTAATATAAACTTCACAGTTTATATGCCTAGTGTTAAGGCGATCAATTCAAATGTAATTATGTAGTCGTATATTTAATGGCAGTTACAACAAAAAAAAAACTTCCACTCGTTTCCTGAAATGTAGGTCAATAATCATATCATTAATATTAAATCATATCGCAAGATAGTTAGTTATAGCTACGGTCGTTTATCAGTTTTTGTTGACATCCTGTGTTACATTGTGACACACTATTTTTTATACACATTTCGATGTAAGCACGCAAATTCATAGCACAATCTATACACAGTATACATTAATAGCGGTATTTATAGAGGTTTTTTTGGTCCGGTACGAGCAGCAATCAGTAACGGAATATTTTTTACTAGCTTAGGCTAAACATATATTGACTATAACTTGATAAAAATAATAGGATGAATAATTTTTCAGGAATCTGAATCATATAAAAAAATGTTATGTTATAAAATGTTATTTTTCTGCAAATGTCGCAAACTAAATTTTAAGTTTTTGACACATATACCATACGAAATGACTAATTTTCTGTTTTATATCCATATACTACATGTATCTTAATAAGTTCTGAAAAAAGTTGTAAATACTAACAGAATAAAATTCTGGACAGAATTATGGGAAAATTTTACGATAAAATAGAAATATTATGTTACGGGGTATTATCGTATGAGTTGGTAATCACGAACAGTCAAAAAGCTATGTATTTGCTGTGCCATCGGACGTTTTACACATAAAACCTAACCTCTGAGTCAGAATATTAACTTTATTGAGATTTCCCTGTGTTATTAAAGTGACAACAGAAAGTTGCACCAATGATGAATTTGTTCGATATTTGTGCCATTTGGAGGTTAGGTTTTATGTGTAAAACCGCCTGATCGCACAGCAAAAACATAACTTTTTTTACAGTGTGTTATCACAAACTCATATTTCTAATTTCTAATTGGCCCCTAAATATGAAACATAATCCGCCACATGTAAAGCGCCTAGCTTAAAGGAATTTATTTCAAGAAACAATAATTTCAAATTTTTTTTAATTGTCCTATTCAATAATATTCTTTACTATGAATAATAAGAGTGCAAAGAACTATCGAATGCCCTAAATTGTAAGATTTTTATTGAATTTGAATACAATTTATTTTTTTAGAACTTAAAGTACTTGATATAAAAAGTTATATATATTTAATTATATATTTTTCAAATTATAATCTCTAATTTTACATCAAATGTCAACTTTTCGATCTGTAAACAATATTTTATATAGTTCGGAAAGATTCAGCAATTTACCTCAAGGCCAAATGTAATACACCACAAAATTAAATTACTCCTTACGAGTATGCTCGCAAGTAATATAAAGATTTGTGTTTCAACATTTTAATTAAAACTTATTAAATAAAGACAACACTTCTGATCTATCTCACTAATCTCACCTCCAATCCAATCCAATATTTTATCATTTTATTATGAAAAATATATAAGCTGTTATGGTTTATAAACCACAGTCTTAAAAAACTATAACACTTATCTTAACTAATTTGTGTCATAATTTATATTTTTATTAATAGATATTATAAATATGATTATAATTGTGATAAACTTTCAAAATTTTATAATTCATATGTGGTATGCCTATCTTTAGGAAAACCCGTCAAATTGATGGGTTAGCTGATTACGCACAAATGATTATGTATTCGCTTTATTTGAAATATTAGAAAATAGTATTCCAATAGTTAATATAATAGTTACGAAGAGTTTGTGATCCACCAAACTTATATTAAAGTATTTTGCATACAATCAAATTGCTAACAGAAAAGATCACCCCGTCAACATCAAGATTACGAAAAATTTGCCAAAATGTGTAATAAAATTAGAAGTTGTAATTTTTATATATATATTGTATTAAATTAAAATTACATGCTTTGAATGCATAAAAGACATCCCAATAATATGTAAAAAAATATGTTCAAAAAGTATGATTACCGTGTAGATATCATATTTTCGTTAATTTTTTGTGATATGTAAACAATTTTTACATTTAATTTGTATTCGAAGCTTTTATATCACAATGTTCAAACAAGATGAGTATAAATTAATATATATTTTTTTAAAAGAAAATACGCATTGCGTTAATTGTAGACGTATTGTGAAGAATGTATTTGATAAATTTGATTTAATTTATTGGTCTTATAAAAAAAAAACTATTTTCTTTCAGGTTTCATGTACAGTATGGCGGCGTTTGGACCTGTGCTAGGTTTTCTACTGGGAGCTTATCTGCTATCATTTCATATGGATTCTTTTTCAACAAATATAATATCGATTGGTGAGTGAAATGTGAAATGTATTTATACAAAAATTTTAATATGAAAAAATATTTTATTCATTTGTTTTTAAATATTTCCGTCATTATGAAATATTTGACGGTAAATGCATTTGTTTTGAATCACTAATTTTGTTTTTTAAATTAAATATGTCTTCTGATATGATACTCCGTGTGTAGTTTTTATGGGAAATTATAATTCATAATGAATTTAAGCTTAGAAACGAGTTTAATAGTCTGCAGTAAGTTTGTATTCGCGTTATTGATTAATGATTATAAAAAAGTAATATTTGATTTATTTTTTAGGCCCCGGCGATCATCGATGGGTTGGAATGTGGTGGGGTGGCTTCTTGCTGTGTGGTTTCCTCCTGATATTGGTTGCCATACCCTTTTTCTCCTTCCCTAAGGTTTTAACGCGTGAAAAGGAGAAAATAAAATTTCTAGAAAAGGCACGTGTTGCTAATTCTGGAAATGGGCAAACAACTACGCAGAACAAAACCATGGACAGCGGTTATGGAAAGGATATCAAAGGTATCAATGCAAATCATTAATTTTTATTGAACAAAATATAGCAATTTTCATCCATGCTTAGTTATTTATTGTTTAATTCTATTTATATATTGAGTACCTATCAAATCGATAAGTGTCACTTTAGTTTCAGCTATCTTCACATTTTCTATACGCTGATAATTTTAATATCACTCTTAAATTAAAAAATTAAAATGTGCGTTCGTGAATTTAGGACGCGTTTGGAAGCAACTATATTTTAGGCTAGTTTTATGGAATTAGGAAGCCACTGTTTTGATTTCTTTTAAATCTCGGCGATTTTTAAACTGTATATTAAAATCTCAAAAAGAGAAGATCCTAAGATGAATTATTATTTTCTAGATAAATTTCAAAATGATTTTAAGTATAATAGACACTGTATTATAATAAAAATGATATCAATATGCATATGTCAAACACTCATACGTCCACTTTTTACACTTTTTGGTCAGATATTCTTTGCACTGTCAAATCGAATAAATGAGCAATTTGAATCGATAATTTGTTCCATCGAAATGTTTACTAAACTACACTAATTATAGCACAACCAACTTTATAAAGGTTTGTTAAAACTATAAGTTTTTTCTCCAAGGGGCAAAGAGCACATTGAAAACTTAATGTAAACCAATAATTGAGGTATAATTAATTATGTATTTTATTTTTTTCAGATATTCCAAATTCTATGTGGAGATTAGTGTGTAACCCCGTGTATGTTGTCACGTGTTTGGGAGCATGTATGGAATTGATTATAGTATCGGGCTTTGTAGTCTTCTTGCCTAAATATTTAGAGACGCAATTCAGTTTGGGAAAGAGTCAAGCTAGTGTTTTTACAGGTAATTCAAAATTATTATAAAATATTGCTTTATTTGTAGATTTTGAGCCATTTTTTAGTCAATTAAATATATTTCAACAGGTACTGGCAACAAAATTTCTGTAGTAGTAAAATATTATAATAATATTTAATTATAATTAACTTCTTGACACGTTTTGATAATTTTGCTTTATTTCTTTTATAATTATCTCTGACACAGATCCTACATAATTAATAAATGGCGTACAGTCACTATACTATTGATCAGAAACTGGCATGCACAGTTTTATATGAAGCATATAAACATTATCAAAAAACTAACATTCAAGGACTTGGAGTTATAATTCTTAAATTAGCTGAATTATTTCAGTTTTTTTAAATAAAATTGATACAGATCTAATTATACATTGTTCTCATAGTTAATAACAGAGTACATTATAATTTTTCAGGCTCAATAGCTATACCAGGAGCTTGCATAGGAATTTTTATGGGTGGATGTTTACTGAAACGATTAGAACTCAGACCAAAGGGCGCTGTGCAATTTGTTTTAATTTCTAATTTTATTTGTCTTCTATGTTATGGTTTGTTATTCTTTTTGGGTTGCGATAATGTTAAGATGGCCGGAACTACCATACCATATTATAACAAGTAAGTTTACAGAATATTATATATATATATATATATATATATATATATATATATATATCGTATAATATCTTATACGATATTAGAATTTTACTAGAAATACGGTTTAGTAAAGTTTAAAGTTGCGTGCTATTACATGATACACCAGGTAACTATCATACAAATGTTCTATTCACTCAGCAACTTATGCCTTATATCAGAGTTATGATATTCCTCTAGTTATATTTTTTCAGCTATCTTGGAGGAGTTTGTATATACCACTTGTCTTTCACACCACTGTTAACATTTTGGAGCATTGATACACATTTCTTTCAAAAACATAAAATGATAAACCAACTCTGCATGCGAAAATTATAACGATTGCTGCGTCCTTGAACACAACTTGTATATGTAAACCACAAGATGTAATAACTAAAATTACGTAATAACTTAATCATTACACGTGACTGCTATGTAACCTGGAAGGTTCATAGCAGTAACTATTTTGAACGTACTGCATTGTTTTGACGCAG